TGGCTCGGTTGGGAGCTTTCTATAAAAAATAGGTTGTATGTTTTTTGGGGTTAGCCAAACTCAAAACACTACAGAATGGGGCAGGGGGGCTAATATGCTTAAGGTTTACATGGTAAACAGCGATTAGTGAAACAGGAGTTAGGCAGAAAGCAATCAGTGAGACAGGTTTTATTAGGCAGAAAGGACAGCAACCCCAGCTTGGAGTTACGAGTAAGGATGTCTTTAAAATTGATACAGTTTCATCCAGGTTGTTAGCAAACTAGTTAATATTTAACTTAAAAATTGTCTTTATAAATACAATGCCCATTGTTTTCTGCATAAAATAACTTAAAAGTTGTCCCTTGGTTGAAGATAAAATAATAAATATAGTTTAAGAGTATTAATCATGCTTTGCTTTGGTTTTCATGAGACATCTAAAGTAACTGTTAAGTAAATATAATTAGTATTGATGTTTATAAATGTTCATAATAACATTTAAGTTATTAGTTGGTAAATATAAATTCAAGTAATATTAGTTTCTTAATAAAAAAGAAGACTGGGGAAAAAAGTAGGTAAGAAACCTATTGGTGAAGAAAACAAAAACAAATTGGTTCAGATGGCTGCTTTTTCATCCATGTGGTGGTGATCCTTTTCAGAATTATGTTTATGTGATTGTTATATAGTTGTGTTATTGCAGATGTGCCTAAACATACAGGTGAAGCAGTGTCATTAGAATGATTAAAGAGTGTACATTAATAAACTATCAAGTATATCTGTAAAATAAGTACATTCTAGAAAAGTACTTTGTTAAAGTACTAAATTTAAGTGAAAGCTTCATTTCACTTAATGTTTTGTGAGTAAAATTAGCTGATTGAAAAATGAAAATTTAAGTATGTTTTAGAGATAACAAAAACATAATAGTTTCATTATAATCTCTTCATAATTGTTATGTTAAAATGCTGTGTTTGCTCTTTATTTCAGATTTTCTCTGTAAAACTTTGTAACTGACCTATTATTCTACAGGAATCTGACTTCTAAGACAACCATCACTGGTAAAAGAAATAGTAGTTCTCTGGCCATACTTCATATTTTAAAGTGCTTAATATCTGGAGGAGATTATGGTAGTTTAACCTATTGCTGCCACTTTAATATTCAGGTAACTGACCTCTTGGTTGTTTAATAGCTGAGAGTTGGAGCCCAAAGCTTAAAAAGTGACTGGTCCAAGAGGGTGGTTAATATTTGGTCCTCACCCTGCAAGGTCACCCAGGACCTAGGATGTGATGGAACCCCTCTCAAGGATACTACAATTCCAGTGAGTCACCCAACCTCCTGAACAAGGAGGATTGTTGGACCCAGAGGACAGAAGTCAACCAGTATACACTGTGCTAAAATGAGAGTCATTAAAAAGAAGAAATATGTAGTCAGCCAGAAACTGTGCTTCATCCTAACATATGGCACAACTGGTAGAGGAAAAACAAAAGACTAAGAAGCTGTACCCATGGCCCTAAAATTTTAAATTAACAAGCTAACCTTGAGATGTGCATATTAGAGTGAAAGAGAAAGAGAAATTAACACAGGTAATGGGCTGGGGTTTGTTGTTGTTGTTGTTGTTTTTGACCTTAAACATGCAGCAGGAAAGTGTGTATATATATATATATATTTTTTTTGAGAGAGAGAGAGACAGAGAGACAGAGACAGAGACAGACAGACAAGAGACAGACACAGAGGAGGCAAAAAGAGAGAGTATTAAAAGCTGAGCTAGCTATGAAGAAGGGGGCTCCAAAAAGTGTATTAGCCTTCGCTGATAGTCTCCAGTTGCACCTATAACTTATAGTTGTAAAAATAAGCATTTGGCAAAATTTTGGGGATGAATATGACCTCAGCCATTTTCCCATAGGAACACAATGTGGGCATCTTTTCCAGAATCATGGGATTAATTAAATTGATGAACTGAGGTATCACTATAGCTATGCCAAAAAAGTGTCCTTCCACCTCTCTTAGTATATTAGTATGTTATTTGGATGTATTTGCAATTACCTCTTAGGTAAAGATTGAGTTTCTTGTATAGTTGTGCCTATACAATAGAAATGGCAATATAAATTCTCTAGCTATTAGCCATTCTTTTCATGTCATACACTTTCTGTTATCTACTTCACACTTTTTATATTTATATTATCTGGAGTCAGTCATTATGAAAGATCTTCAATCTACACAAAAGAGCTCTAGAGTAAAAATTTTAATGGCTCAGTGGTAAAAAAAAATAGGTATGTAAATTTAGAGAATCCATTCACCATTGTTATAATTAAAATAAGAGGACATTAGATCTCTTATTAAGAAAACAGAAGTCTTAAACTTCTATTGTATTAAGGTAAATATTTCAAACAAATAGAGGTTAATATTAAAGATGAAAAGCTGTGTCAAATGTTACTGTCTTCTACCATTTTTGGATCCACTACTCATCAATATTCTGTTAATTTCAGCCTTGGCCTGTTTATCAAGGCCATAAAGTAAAGCTGTGTCAGTGACTTGTTAATATTTTTGTCCCCTTTTCCAAACTATGAAAAGATGATCATCAGACAACAAAGTCCATCTTCTTTTGTCCTTTTTAGACCAGTCAGGGTGAGATTTTTGATCCTTAGCTAGGCAGGATCAATACCCGTCTGCAGCCAGAAGCAGTTACATAAAGACAGAGCACTGGGCCTTCTGTGCCCTCTAAGAATAAAAAATCAAAGTCTCAGGGAGGGAGATGAAGTAGGGTAAAAGAAATAAGAGACAGATATAAAGAGATAAGGAAAACAACCTAAAAATCGTACTTGTAAGAAGACTGCAACTTCCAGGACTCAGCTGAAGTTACCCAGGCAATGCACATCAGCATTCCTTTAGTTAAATTTAGGTTCCTTCCCTACCATACTCATCATATCCAAAATTCCTCAGGAATACTGAATTCTACAAATTGGCTTAATTGAGAAAGTAAAAGAGCAGGAACATGATCCTAAGGTAAAGGAACATGTTGAGAAAATTCAAAGAATGTTAAAATTACCTAAAAGAATAACAACAACAAACCTGTCTAGCAGGTTTTCAATAGGATGGCCTAGACCTGAGGTCAGCCTGAAGTGTGGGAGCCCAGTACTGCCTCTCAGGAACCAGACGTAGACGTTCTCCTGGGTTTCCCTAAGATTTAGCATAAGAGGACACACCAGTGCATGAACACTTTGCTAAGGTAACTTTATGGTAGTGCACGCTGTTTCCCAGCTCTTGCCTTTTTTTCTGTTTGCTCAGCCCAAGCTCATTCTGCAGAGCCAGCTTCCTGCCCACTCTTTACTCTTACTTTCTCCAATAAACTTTGCTTTTTGCTCAGTTCATTCAAGAAACGTGGAATCTGGAAGGAGAGGTGAGCACTCCCAAACCTGCTAACATTTAGTTGGCGAGCTACCTTTTAGAAGCACACTACCTTTTAACAGTACGATTTCTTTGTTAACTCTGGCTGGTGAGCCTTAGATTCTCATTCTGATTCCTCAGTCTAGAGATTGCAAACATGTTAACAGAAAAAGCCCTAAAGAGTTAGAAAACTTAATTTGAGACTTTACCTAAGCAGCTGTGGTAATCAGGGCAAAGTCTACATTTCTCTCAGCCTCTGGGACCTCATCTGTACCATGAAACACCTGGGATACCCTTTAAATTTAAGCATTCTTTCAATGATAGACGTGGAATCAAAATCACAGTGAAATAACTATAATAGACCCATACATAGAAGTAGAAAGTAGATAAAATTTATTAGATGCTGTGGAGCAGCCTTAGAATGAGTAAATACTGCTTTTATAAACTTTCTACTCAGAATGATAAATGTTTTAGAAATAAGGCAGATGTGGGGGCTCATGCCTGTAAATCCCAGCACTCTATGATGCTTAGGCAGGAGGGTCACAAAATTTGAGCCCAGCCTAAGCAATTGTTGCAAAAATTTTATAGTTTTTACTCAATATTTTAGAAAATGAGTGGCAGTGTCTTAAGCAGCTTACACCAGACGTCCTCTTGTGTCCCCTGGTTAGAGACTGAATTGTGTTTCCTCTAAATTCATATGTTGGGACCATAGAACAACTTTAGGATAGGCCCTTTAAGGAGATAAGGTTAAATTAAATCATGGAAGTGAGGCCCAAATCCAATTTGACCGATCCCTTTCTAAGGACAGGGAGAGACTGAGTCAAGTGGGCAGATTCGTGCATAGAGAAAAGGCCCTGGCGGGGAGGGGAACAGAGATGTCCACCAGCTCATGAGGAAGACCCCAGGAGAAACAAACACTGCACCTTTCAAAATTAGTGCTTTAACGTCATTGCTTGGTTTAGTTGGTAGCTGTGTCTGGATTTTTGTTTTTGTTTTTTGTGGGGTTTTTTGTTTGTTTTGTTTGGGTACTGGGGGTTGAACTGAGGGCTTCTGCACTGAAGCCCTCCTCTCTTATTACAGCAGTATATAAGGGCTCCTGTTACTTTTCTACCAACAATATAGAGAGCTCACGAGCATTTGTTATCACTTGATTTCTGGTAACCATTCTTTCTGGAGTAAGATAGAATCTCAGTGCTATATTAATTTGCATTTCTCTAACAGCTAGAGATGAACATTTTTCTCATATATTTATTAGACATTTGTACTTCATATAAAACATGTTAATACTCATTTCAGTGGTCCATTTTTTGATTGGGTATTTTAATTTCAGGGGTCTAATATTTTTGAGTCCTTGGATAGAAGACTAATATCTAGAATATATAAAGAACTCAAAAAACTGAAATTAGAAAATATCATAAAGAACTGATACAACCTCTTCATCTTAAAGATGAAACAAACAGGCAGGAGACATTGATGTAAATGGCTGACTGTATTCAACATTTATAGCATAACATTTTCCTCAGAAGTTTATTATTCAAATTACCTCCCAGTTTGAACTGGCCTCCCCTGTAATCAGTTCACATTCACAGGCTTCTCACCTTCCTAATGAAAACACAATGTTACACATAAAGCTAACAACCTACCACACCAGTGTCTGGAGGCAAAGTTTCTGTTTAGGTCTGTTCCAATGCAACGATTGTTCACATGGAAGGAGCGGTTCTTTCTCCACATTCGATTCTAAATAAACAAAACAGGAAACAATAACCATGGTGGCCATATTTGCAGCATAAGTCCAGGGGTTGAGGCTCAGAGCTTCTCTCTTTGAACCCCATTCGTCTCATGACTTCATCCTCTCATTATCTTAATATGAATCCTTTCACATGATCCCCATTTCTTTTCTTTTCTTTTTTTTTTTTTTTTTTGTCTTTTTCATTTTTATCGGTACCAGGGATCGAACTCACGACCGCCTGCTTGCAAGGCAGGTGCTTATGCCGCTGAGCTAAATCCCCAGCCCCTGATCCCCATTTCTATCCACTTCCTAATCACACTAACTGAAATTAATTTGAACCAAACAAAATGGTAATATTGGATGAATTGTTATCCTTGTAAATAAAAATTTTTATTTGTTCCCACTAGGCTCCTTATTAACCTTGTTTAATCGTATTTCCTTTAACTTAGTGTTAATCACAGGTTCATCTTGATCTCCTTAAAAAAGAGTGAAATAACTTGATATCTCAAGTCAAAACTGTAAATCATGACTTTCAATGCTCTCTTTTTATAATGTGGTTATTTTTTAAAGTTTCTTTTTAAGATGCATGATCAAATACTCATTAGTAAAGTGATGATATGGTATCTGGGATTTGCCTTAAAATAATGTGGATGTGGTGGAAGCGAGTGTAGGATGAGATAAAACAAATTAGCCATGGGTTGATTGTCACTTAATATGTGTGATAGTTCCATAAGTTATGACCATACAATTTTGTCTACTTTTCTGTATGTTCGAAATTTTTCCTAATAGAACATAAATTTTTTTTCATAACACTGCTGTGCCAAGATTCAGGATCCTGTGTATAATGCAGCGGATATACCCTTCACTCCAAAAGGAGATATGGCTTGCTGTCTCTGTCTTCGCTTACCTTTGTCCATGTGTGGTCATAACCGTCCACATTAACCACTGGCATAATATAGAAATCCAAGTGTCTTAGAAGATTGGTATACACATTCTCTTTCCCATAGAATTCTGTTACCTACAAATTAAATGAAGCATGCTTAAGAATATCTAATTTTAGGTCCACTTAAACTTCTTCTGGGTTTTCATATAGGCTTTTCTTTATAAAAAGCAATTTGAGAAGCTTCATCTTTCAGGAAGAGTGTTATTCCTGAAAATGACTGAATGTAGGATAAGGTCTGCTACCAAGTACTGGTAAATGGCTCCCTTGTATGTGTTCTAAATAGTCTTCCTATATAATGAAGACAGAAAATATAACGATGCATTTCTGGATGATCCATCAAAAAGCAAAAACATTTGTTTAGTAAAGCCATAAAGCTTTGCTGGGTATGTTGGTATACACCTGTAATCCCAGTATTCAGGAGGCTGAGACAAGAAGATGGCCATGAGTTCAAGGCTAGCCTGGGCTCTACAGTGAATTCAAGGCCACCTTGAATTATATAATGATACCCTGTCTCAAAAAGAAAAAAATCACAAGACTCAGATTAAAATTCTTTATCATAAATAATCACTTATAAGACAGAGAAAAGAAATATACCAGTTTTTTGTTTGTTCAATTTAAAAAAACCTATAGGTGAGAAATAAAAACTTATATGAAAGAAAGAAAATTTTATCAACAGAGAAAAAACATCTTAAATAGTTGAGCAGCCACTTAAATACATTTTACCAATTTGTAAAGTTATGTCGGTATCATTTTTCAGTAAGAATATAGCATTTATCCTTAGCATAATATGAGAGAACAGTTACTTTCAAAATAATAAAACATTTGTCATTTTAATGTTTATGTTGGTTTCATGTTCAATAGATGCAGCATGGTAGATTTGTTCATCTGCTTCTCTTTATTTTTCTACATTTGCCATGGGCTGAAAGAGAGTCTTTCAGCAAAAAGTGAGAGGAGAGAGCTGATTAGCTGACCTGCAGTTTCCTTCTATCAGGACTCCCCTGGAAGGGACTGAGTGAACGCTCACATAGAGCCTATGCTATGTGTGTCACATTCCACCTTCAAGTGTGGCTGCAGCAGCAATCCCAGGGCAAGGGGCGGCTGTTTTTCTTTAACAGGTTTATTGAGATATAATTGATATGCCAGAAAATTCAGTTTTAAAGTATAAAATTCACAAGTTTTTAGTAGAGTTACAGAGTTGTAGAACTCTCGCTGTTAGCTGATTTCAGAACATTTTCATCACCACCACCACTGCCAAAAACCTGCTAGGAGTATTCCCCCTTTTCTTCCCCATGGGTATCTAGGTGTCCTAGAAAACGGTAACTCTTTTGGAGCCTGCCTAAAGGCACTATTGAGGCCAGGGGTATATTCAGAGATGAGGACCCCAGGCAATCAGGAAGTGGTGATGATCTGAGGGACAACAACAAAATAAAACCCAGATTCTAAGGGGCATGCCATAGTTTAAAGATAGAACAGAGGGAAGTCAAGTGCCAGGAAGACTTTCATGCTTTTAGGAGAAGTGAGCTCTGACAGAGGCAGAGCTGAGTTGGATATTTTCCTAATCAGCTAGAGTCTAATGGTGATATCTCAACCTGTTTTCCTTTCTCATCACTGTAGAAACTAACTATGGGTAGGGTTACATAGATACACAGCAACCAAAGAGGTATTCTTCAGTGATTGTGACTAATGTGACTACTTACTAAAGTATGCCAAGATGTGAATTTTCTCACTTATTTGCACTTCAGAAACACACAATGTGTTTACCTAATCCTGTCACTAAACTATATAACCTGTAAAGTACTACAAATTGTGTAATTCGAGATGAAAACTTTCAACTGTGATAAAGATGCGATTTTTAAAAATCACATTTCAGCTAACTTGAACTTATCTGTACATCTAATATTCTTTACTGTTAACTCCAATGTGTGTATCATGGGCCTCTCCAAACATGCATTATTTAGTGCTTTTCCACAATACTATGCAGATGTATTTACTGTATGGTTTTACATCTATCTAGTGAACGAATCACCCTTAATGAGGTGGATAGCTAAAGGAATTATGGAATTTTGCTTGACACACAAAAGACAGCACAGAAATATTTGTCGAAGCTATGACATCAACAAGGCAAGTAACCTAAGTTAAATCATGGTTCCACTCTTTAGAAAGAGAGAAGGAAAGAGAAAGAAAGAAAGAAAGAAAGAAAGAAAGAATGAATGAATGAATATAGGGCTCCCAGGAGTGAGTGATGAGAGGAGGGAGGTAAAGGGTACAATGACTGCTGTGGCATAAGATCTCCCAGGTCTTCCCATCCCCTTGTTCAGAGTGTGCTAAAGGTTTGCCCTTTAATATGGTCCTAAGTAACAGTACTTACTAAGATGATAAACCATTAACATTTGACAGAGATAAATTAGTACATGAAAGCATATCAGACATGCATGGAAGGCTTTTAAATAAACTATTATGCTCATTACAATTAGAAATATAGTCGAGTGGTCTTTACTACACCAGTAAGGAGTCTTTAATGATCTATATATGCCTAATTCAGACATTATCCAAAGCAATGTAATATTTAGCACAACAGTAGATAATATTTAGATACCTCCTGGGCCTGAGGTTTGTATTTCAGCCAAACTCGAAACAAAAACTAAAATTTCAAATTCCAAAAGGGGATGGAGAACACACTAATTATGTGCATTACATGATCTGTTGAGTTATAGAGAACAAATAATGACTTCAGGATTGTTTTTCATTCAAAAAGAAAAAGAGCAGTAGTAATTCAATGCGATCAGTACTACAATAAATAACAGACCATAAAGGTGGCTCTGAAGAAGACTAGTTAATTCTGGATGTGTTTAGGGTTGAAACCTCTGAAGGGAAAGTTGGGAGGCAAGAAGCTGAGGGTTCAGGTAGGTGAGAGGTTTTCAGTGCTTCGCAGAACAGGAGAAGATAAATTAGAAAGTAACAACAATATTCAGGGGCTAGATATCTATTAAAGTTTTAAAAGACCATATATAGCAGGTACAAGAAATGAAAGAAACAGGAGAGGAAATGAAGAAGTCAGATTAAGTGGCTTTTTCTATCTTTCCTTGTGGCTGTTCATGGCCATATCTGGAATCAAAAAGAGCACTGTTTTGGACGCTCAGAGAATGGCCATGGAAGAAATTCGTAAGTCAGAATTAAAGGGCTGTTTGGTAATGCAGAGTTCAAAGGAGGGAGAAGTTGGGTTAGTAGATAGATCTGGTACACAAACTTTGAGTTCACTCAGAAAGATTTTAAGTGCTGGAAGGAAATAAAAAGTGATGAACAATTTTCAGGGAATTATCTGGAGGCCAGTAAATGGCAATAATAATAAAAAAGAAAAAGAAAAAGGAATAATGCAACCAGATGAAGTTCAAGGAAGAGAAGCCCCCTGGCAATGTTAGGATGGAGAGTTCTGGTCTGCTTCTGTCCTCTTAGCACTTGATGGTGCGTAAGAAAAAGCGGCCTCTGATTTGGTGGAGCTATGTGAAGCAGCATAGTGGCTAAGGTGAGGAGAGCAGAGAGAATTCTGCAGAGGCCCTGAAGTTGGAGAGTGTTTACTCAGTGTGCAGTTCTGTAAAATTTCTCCAGAACAGAAGTTCAGAGGGAAGAGCGATGAGAAAGTTTATGGAGAAAGCATCGGTCCAGGGGTGATGAGCGGCACACGTTCACTGGGATCTTAGAATGTTCTAGACCCTGTGCTGGGTTTCGGATGTGGCAGTGCTGACTACAAAAATCAGCCTCAGCTCCTCCTTTGCAGAATTAGAAGGCATGTGACTTTGACCTCTTGAGAAAGAAGGTGAGGTGCAGAGAAAAGTAGCTTGCTACATGCTTCCCAAAGTGGGTCACTAGCTTCTCTGAAACTAGGCTATCAAATTTCTGCAGTTTCCTTCCTACTGAGTTGTAGAAAGGAGAGAAACTTAAAACTTAAAATTTCAATTCACATTTGAGAATACTTTTTAAAGTAAAATTAACCATAACAAATATTTTTTAAAAGTTAAATATTTTATTTTTCTTTTCCTCTAACAGTGGTTTGCAACTTCGTGAGAGTCAGATGGTCTTGATTAGTTTTAGGCAGGCTGAGATGGAACTTCTTAAATGTCCATTCAATAGAACATGTTGATTATATTAACTCAAGCCACAAAAATCTGATTTACATTGTTGGCAAAATACATGATTGTACAATCCTTGAGTTATACCTCGTTCTCTGTTGATTCTCTAGGGGGTAGACTCTCCTAAGCATTTTAGAAATAATTTTTCACAAATGTTATGGTTTATAAATAATTCATAAATTTTATAAATAATTTAATATTAGAAAGATTAAGCAAATAGGTAAAGGGTAGAATGTATAACAGAAGGGCACATGTAATGCTAAGAGGGCCAGCAATCAAGAGCAACTCCTCCGACATGAATTACAGCCAACGTGGATTGAAGTTTCTTTCCAGTCCTTCTCAGATTCAGCAAGGAATGAAAAAGCAGTGTTTTCCCTTGCTTGTACCTTTCTCTCTCCATTAACTGCTGCTCCCTTCATTAAAGCGCCCCAACATGAGTAAGATTCACATTTAGAAAATGAGCTCCGTTAAGAGATTGGAAAATCGAAACCAATCTCATTTGGTCCAGGTAGCTTCAACTGTGGCTGGGAACGTTTCTGTAGCTGCAGCAGTGCTTCTCTGGGGAAAATGAGTGAAGTGACAGTGGACACCTCATTTGTTAAGACAGATCTTAATGACACTCTCAGTTTCCTAACTCATCTATGTTATTGTTTATTTGTGAATAAAAGATTATAATCACTATAACCGGAAAGATATGTTTTGAGTTACTTTTCCAGTGCATGGCTCTTTGTATACATCAGTTGTCATGGTTTTAGATCTAGATGTCCTCTCAAGAGTTTCATGTGCTCATAGGTGAGGCTTTTAGAAGGTGATTGGATTATGGAGGCTTACTGCTGACTTGATTTTGGGAGTGGAGTCTGATGGGAAGAGGCAGGTGTTGGGGCATGGCCTGAAGGGTTACCTTCCTTCCTGACTACTCCTCCCTTGATAGTCTCTCTGCTTCTGGGTCTCCATGCCATAAGCGGGCTCCTCTGCCATGCGCCTTGGTCACACCTTTCTGGGTCTTGGAGACAGCTGACTACAGACCAAAATCAACCTCACCTTCTTTAAGTTGTAGGCGTTGGTTATTATGTCACAGTGATGAGAAAGTTACTAAGACATATAATAAGAGTAGAGGACATGCATACCCAGTTCATAGGATCTGAAGTATAATTTTTACTGTTTTCATTTGTTACGGAGGATTATAAGTACTCTATATTTTACTTTATTGGCATGCCACTAGTATTATATGTCACCTTTTTCATACCAATCTCTTCTTCAGAAACAAAATTCCCTTTTAGGACACAGGAAAAAGCATTATCTTTTTTGTAAGGGTACACTTCATATTTAGTTTCCAAGGCCAGACTGTATCAAAAGGTGTCTAACCAATTCAAATAAGTTAATAAACATATAAATAAGGACCCAACTTAGATAACTGCTTTAGACATTTCTTCTATGCAATAAAAATATTACAATCAGCATACTATTTACTAGCTATTTCCTAGTGTTAAGCCTCAGATAGAAAAGCAGAAATAAAAAGATCAATTATGTAACAAGCAATTTACATACTAAAACCACAGCTTTCAAACTTTATGTGCATAAAAGTCACTCATAAAACTTGTCAGTATTGTGGCTTCTCAAGCCTCACTTCCACATTTTTAGTCAAGTACTAAGATTTGAAGTGGGCAAATGCATTTCAGTTACAACCCTGTGAATTCTGACACAGGTGATCTTGGACCCCCACTCAGGAATACTGGCCTAATGTGAGTACTTACGTAGTCTATGAACCACAAGCAGAAAGCTGGAGAGATCCACTCCCTGGCATGAATCCCACAGTCAATCCACATGGCATTCCTTGCTGTTCGTTCTTTTCCAGAAACCTGCTCAAAGAAAATCAAAAAGTAGCAAAATCCGTAAGTCTTAGTATAACAGTTTTTATTTACATGGCATTATACTTAATCCTTTTAATATATTTACAGAATATATATGCATTGCTTTAAGTATTCCTTTGAGAATTTTCAGGGAATATTAAAAACTGGTGAGAAAAATGACATAGCTAAAGCCACATGGCTAGTGTGAGGTCAGACAAATGCTCGTGGCCTGGAATCTTGGTTTAAAACTCTATCTTCCCACAATTAACTGGTCACTGAAAGCTGCATGTGGAAAGATAGAAGAAGCAGACACTGTTTTGGGCCATCTGATTACTTCAGTATATGATTTTACAACAATATTCCACCTTCCATGGGAGGTGTAGAGATATAACAGGAACAGAAACGCCCCATCATTTTGCCTGAAGTGCATAATTCTTACACATAGACTATTTCCCCACCTCACACAAAAAGGACTGCACATGTAGCTTCACACAAACTGATACCAATAGATCAGGGATCAGACACCATATTAAAATTCACAGCATCATGGTTACTAAGACGCTAAATCTCTAGAACAAGAATTCCCACAGTTTTCAGTGATATTCTTTGAATTCTTTAGAAGAATTCTCAAGAACATTTCCAAAATTATTCATAGTTTATTTGACTTTAAAAATTAGTTACAACACAATTTAGGGTACTGAGGGAAGGGAGAAGACTGTAAAATCTAACTACTGTGCAGTGGTAATTTTAAAAGAAGAAAAACAGAAATTTAAATATTTCCATATTCCACTCTGATATGCAGCAGCAAAGTGAAGAAGAAAGTCAAGTGGCCTCTAACGGCCAAATTATGCAGGCAAAGGGAACTGTCAGACTGCCAACCTATTTGATGTCAAGAAAATTCCAACTTGTCCAGATTAATTGCCATGCTTGACATATCTAACTGCAGAGCAAATTTGTGGCACTATTTCTGACACTGGAATATGAAGGAACCCCAGAGACCTACATATGTGTACATTCTGCATTTAGTGAGACTAGGACTAATGTGCACAGGGTGCACGCTTTTCCAAGGCATGCACTCAGGTTCCAGACACACAAGTTCCAAGAAGCACACACAACATGAGTGGCGTAAACATCATGGGTGGATAAACCATTACATCGACCTAATGCAGTCAACCAACTGAGCAACTAATAGGACCCAACACTTCACTCTGATTTGAGTTTGTGCTGCAAGTTCCTGCCAGGGACTGATTAAAACTGAAAACTCTTGACTCCAAATTTTATTTTTGGATGACTGAAGGGACTTAATCACAATGCAAATAAATTCGACATTACTAAATCTGATGTGTTTTTCAGTAATCACACTTTTTTCCAGAGCTTTTTTTAAAAAAATTTTTTTAAGGAACAAAATAAAAAACAGAGCCACAGAATCAAAAACTCTAAACAGGTGGAAATCACTATAGCCCTTATACCTAAAATTCTATATTCAGTATAGGAGCATTTACTAAGGCAAATTTGAGAGAAGACACTGTATCCAAGGTATGGTAAGTTGATCAGATTCTTTCCCACAGTATATTGCAATCCAATGGACAGTGACTGGAGCAGAGACGTCAAATGAGCCCTACTGCAAAGAACTCCAGCGTTTCCTTGCTTTCTATCTTTCTCTAGGTTTGATTGTTCTGCTTCTACTTTGGTTTCTAACAAATGCCTCTCTCTCTCTCTCTCTCTCTCTCTCTTTTTCTCATACACAGAATAAGTCAGTCTGTCTGAAGTGGTAATGATGCAAATAAAACAGAGTTGAAAACTGGTCTACATCATTTTAGGAAAGTGAGTGCTGAAGCCCGGTGTAAATTAAATGTCTCATCTACTGTCACATAAACAGGCAGTCAAATCTAGAATTGGACCTTCCACTCTCATATCATCACTTCATTATTAAAGAAATATTTAAAGGTAATCACTGACATCTAAATAGGTGGATATTAAAGATGAGAACATTTAGAGCTCAAAGAAAAAACATTTCTAGTTATAACAAACAGCACTGGAGAATTGAGCCCTCCTCTCAAACTGAAAGAATCATGATTCTTCTCACAACATACCTTTAAAACATAAAGTGGACGCTTCTCATAAGAGGATCCGATGTGAAGTTTTCGAAGCATTTCAGGATGCTTCTCAGTTATTACTTCTATCCAAGAGTAGATCTATGAAAACAGAAATCAGAGGTTAGACACAGGACAAGTTCAAAGTATTTCCCTGACTACAGGAAGCAGGTGGCTTCTTAAAAAATGACATTCACCTAAAATCTTTGCAGATGGAAGAAAGAAAGAACAAAAATATTGGGGTAGGGTTTTTCTTTTGTTGTTTAAGAAAATTAATAAAATTAAAACTTTAACAACTGTTAAAAGTTTAGAGAAAGTTAAAAAAACACTAAGAAGTATATAACAGAGTCAAAAAATTGAGCTTTACAGTATGGATCCTACAAGTTATTTTTAAAGCTCATTACATCTAGTCCCTGCCTCTGTACATCTGATCTTTTTACTGCTCATTTAAGAGTTTGTGTTTATATGAGACTTAAAAAAAGATAAATTCATTGTTCAGGACTAAGGCAGCTGGGGCATTGCCTTTACCCAGCAGGAACAGCAGTGCTATTGTTTCCCACTGAGTGCTTGTGCAGACACAGTGAGCCTGACAGAAAGAGGCAAAGGTAAGACAGCTGGAGGAAAACAATGCCATCACGAGAAATGTTATTTGAACTTCTTAGTCAAAGTATAGTGGTATTTAAGGTTATGTCATAGTGACAATGAGAGGAAAAAACAAAAATTCTGGGACTGATGGTGAGCTAGAATCTTCATGCAAGCAGGAAGTAAATTCTTGTGTGTTTGTGGATCTCTGGGATTGGATTTGGTCATATTTTAATACAGAACAACTTCCCAAAGGCCATACTAACCACCATGTACCTTCTGATATGGGAATGATCAACTCTTGACTTTGTCTCTGGGAACTTTATTAGAGGGTTTTGAGATAGCAATCTTAGCTGATGAGAAATTGAGCCCCATTTACCCTAGGGTTTTCTTAGAGTGGTGGACCCCGTGTGTGTACTATCATTATTGAGAAAAAGAAAACATTCCATAAAGTACCCTTGATAAGCCACCATCAACTCAGCGGTAAGACAGTCTGTCAGAGTAAAACAGATAGTTGAGCTGGGGCCAGGGCACGCTCCCCTCGACTTGCTGCTGGACCACTCCACTCCCACTCACCTGAACCACTTACCTGAGCCAAGTCACCAGCCTCAGGTGTATTACACAGAGGCAGAGATAAGAAAAGCAAAGACACCCCTCCCCCAAACCTGCCTAGGAAAATTCCAAAATTGCAAACCAGGGCATATGTGCAGCAGATGTGCCAGCATGACTTGAAGTAGCCTTTTCTTCATTGAAGAAATGTGTAGGACTGAATCTCATCCATAGACTCATCACAGGATGAATTATGGGAAAGGACATGTGCAACAGAGGCAGTTGACGTGACTCAGAACCCTGTCAGTCTTGCTCAGGAGGACCTGATAGGAGGGGCCTTAATGCAGGTGGGACGTGAGCTCAGCAAGTTTTTTTCATAGTGCAGTAGATTACTTAAGATTTTCTGGTGTAAGTCAAAGCCAAAAGAAGAAAATCCTCCTTCCTGTTAGGCCGCTGCATGGAAAGGGCTGATCCAGAATCACTGTTGAAGAGCAAGTAAAGACTTAGGAATTTCCTGGAAGAAAGACAACTCTTACCAACTGCATGAAAAGGATTAGGATTAAAGAATGGGAAAAAGAAGTCCAAAATATTTTCTGCAATGTCATACAGATGGACTGTCTTGTGTACACCAAATTCATGCAAAAGCCCTAAGGCTTAGTCCCTTAGAATGTGACTGAATTTGAAGCTAGACAGTTAAATTACAAGACCGTAGGCATGGGTATTAATCTAATCTGACTGGTGTCCTTTTAAGAAGAGGAAATTAGGACACAAAGGACCCCAGATATGGACTATAAATGTTGGACACCCACAACTTAATCAAGGAGGGTTTTTTTTGTTTTTGTTTTTTCCTATAAACGTTATGTTGATTTATAGCACTGCTCTGGGAGGTTGCAGTTTGTCTACAATGATGAGTTATCTAACTGAACACACTGCAAATGGCAATTACAAGTCAAAGTGGCAAGATAAAACCACAGCTGGCTTATTGCAGCCAGCACAAAAACAAGAACGGTAGGCAAAGGGAGGGGTAGAATTGGGCTTTACTAGAAAAGAATTTGGGAAATTGAAGAAAGAAATGTTCTACACGGGAGGAAAGACAGGAGGGTGCAAAATTCCCAGTGTGTTAACTCCAGCCTGTTCCCAGCTGCATAAGCAAAGCAGAAGAAAACAGCTGGACCCATTAGACAATTCAGTAAAACTGTGCTTAGAAACCCTAAAAATTTGATTAAACTCGAAGCTTGCTTTGCTTTAAAAGTTTTTAACATTTCAAAAGGCCTGCTTTAGTGACACGCTAGCCCCACTGGAAAGCAACCCCTTGTCAGTGATGTGCTCAAGTTGAGCAACCGACTCACACCTCCGAAGCAGGTGTGCACTGGACACGTGTGTCTTAAAACCCAGCCATGAGGCTCAGGTGACAGCTAGCACTGTGCACCCAGGTGTCAACTGTCCAGTGTCCTCGCTGTAGAAGAGTGGGCAGAGCAGAGAAACCCTTGTGTGGTAATGAAGGACCAAGAGACACATTGCCCACCCTACTCAAAATGAAAACTTTATTTGTAAATCACTTTTGGTACCCAGTGACCAGGATAGTTTTCACCTTTTAGAAAATACCACACATATCACACACCCATATATAATTGTTTTGGTTTTTACATTTAAATGCTACTTTACTTTGTGTTGCAAATGGAGGATGCAGGAATAAGAACTTTTCTTTTCCTTTAAGGTAGAGACATCCATCAGTTTATACGCAGCTCTGTGTTCATGGAAAGGAGTGGGAGCCCAGGTAAGGAAGCATGACAGCAGAAGACAAGGGCCCTTTTCTTCCTGATCCCCAAAGCCTCCTTAAGCAAGAACGTTCTTACTTAATTTCTACTTAATAGGAAGTTGCTTATACCTTAGGAAATAGAGCTTTCCACCAAAAGGAGAGAGATCCTCACCCAACTAAAGTCAGGTCTTTTCCCTTTCAGCTATCTTGAAAAAAAATTCTCACCTCCCCTGCTCCTTCAGGAACACATCTGCTTTGCCCAGACACCTGCACCTGCAGGTCAAGCCCACTGGACAAGGCGGAAAGCAGTGGTTAGTTTCCTACCTGAGTTGCCGCTAACACATTAGAAAGCTTCTGTGATAGAAAAAATGGGGCGGGCTGGGGTTGAATGGGGTGAGTGCACTAAAGACTTGATTCCTCTATTCTGGCCAAAGAAAGCAAGATTAACAGAGCATAAAGGATGAAAAAGACCTTTATATTACAGGCTTTGACTTACAGTGGGGACAAGTGGGGTGTCAGGGAGATGGAAGAGTTAGAGTAGTGTGAAGAAGCAGGGGGCGCTTCATGTTGGAGGTCAAGTCCACAGTGCACTTCAGACCACCCTCTTCCCATGTGGCCTTTGTGCTGAAGTTGATAGGGCGGCTGATACTATTACAATTTCCAGGAATGGGCTTAAGATCAAAAGGTGCTGTGGCTTTGAAGTCTCCATGTGGACTATTCAAGATAGGCTATCCAAGGAGAATCTCCCATGGAGATACTTTCACAGGGTCCTATTTGGAATTCCCACTGGGAAGGCATGATTTTGGTATTCTTCCTGATTATCTTGACTCTGGAGTACAAGCAGGCCCAGTGATGACCCTCTGCAATGTCCCTGACATAAGCTCTGTCTGCTCCCATACCACCATAATATGAACCTCAGGGACCAGGGAACTGCTGGAAGCTGATCCCAACAGGTACTCATCTGTCCCCATGAAAGTGTGTTCCTGCTCCATTCCCAACCAGTGGTGCTGGCTGCACATTGTAGCAGTCAGTGCTTACTAAAGAAGCAGATTTAATGCAAGGTATATAAATCTATAAGAATTTATAAGATTAGTTACCACGGCCACACACAGAGTCAGACGTGGAAAAGTGCAAGAAAAGCTGTCTAAGCGCTGGAGATTTGAAGGACCCAGTCAAAGGCCTGGAACCCACTTCAGTGTCCCATGAAAGCTTGTCCTTATTTTTATTTCCATCTCATGTGAGTTAGTGTCAAAACAAACCTGCTGAAGGGCGTGCCTAGAACCTGAAAAGTCTGCTGGAAAGCAGTAGATGAAGTCCAACAAGAAGCTGAAGACTGGAGCTCCTCTGAAGAAAGAGAAATGAGCCTTCCTTCCTCGTTTCCCTTTTATTCATACGTGCAGCAAGCCTGCTGGGTGCACCAGGGTGGGTCTTCTAGATCCCTTTGGCCATACCCAGAGTTATGCCGACTGATTTAGTTAGGCATTTCTTACTCAAGTTGACACAGTCAGCTATCACACATATCTCGTCCATTATCCACTTAAAGGTGTGCCCTAAGTTGGTTTCTGTAGGCTTCCAATTATACTGCTTCTAACAATTCACAAAACACCTGTTTATTTTGACCTTGGCAGAAGGGTTCCCAAAACAGCCATAGGATTAAGGTATTTGTCACTAATGGAGCCCTTGGTCTGGAAAGTGCAAGAGCCATCAAAATTCTACTCAGACAATAAACTCTTCTGCACACTTGTGCTCACAGTCCAGGGTGCCAGTCTTGTGGCACAGCCCTTCTCTAGTACTGACACTCCAGATACACACGTCTTAGACTTTGTTCCCTGAGGCAGGAACACGTTCATCTACTTGATATCTGTGTTTAAGCAGGAACTTGCTGAGGTACCCTTAGGGGAAGATGTTCTAGAAAGTGAGTAGATGCATGACAGCTGTGAGAGTGAGGTGGGGACAGTGTGGAGGAGGCTGGTGTACTGTCAGGTGCCCAGGTCTTCGCCCATTCTTGGTTCTGCTGAGAGGTTAATTTTGACTCATGGTGTGTAGGGTATTCATCGATGGTTGGATGGCTCCATGGCAGAAGAGTGCAGGAAGCAAAGCTCCCCACCCATGGTAGCCAGGGGGCAGAGAAAAGAGAGAGAAGGACCTGGGACAAGAGCACACCCTTCCAGGTCAGCCCCAGTGACCCACCTCCAATAGGTCTATCTCTTACACCACAGTTAGCCACTGAACTCATCAGTGGTTGAATCCATGGAGGAGTTCAGCACCCCAATGGTCCAGTCACCTTCCATGCACATAAGACTTGGCAGGGGGTTTTATCTAAAGTATGACATGGATACACAGGGAAAAAGTCATGTGAGGTCACAAGAAGGTATCCATCTGCAAGTCAAAGCAAGCAGCCTCAGAAGGTAACAAACCTACTGACATCCTGACCTCACACTTCAGTTTCTAGACCTGTGAGCAATAAACTTCTCATGTTTAGCCTACACAGACTGTAGTGTTTGCTTATAGAATGCCTAGCAAACTAACACTGTCATGGACTCGTTATTTTCTATCTTTTCCAACAAATAAGAAAACAACTTTTTGAGTGGAAAAATTAACTTTTAAAAAAATGCTTGAATCATTCCTCTTTCCCCATCAAACTCAATACAGCAGTGATATATCCATCTTCTGTGGTCTGCAAATCATGCCTATCTAGCCTCTCTGTATTTTTGTTACATGTTGCTGGTGACAGATGCTAGCGAGGTGTGTTCTATGTGAAACAGATGTAAGATATGAGAGATAAAAGAGGGAGTACAATTTTAATACCTCTGTCAGTCAGCCAGGCACATGGATTCCAGATGCAGACTAACTGGAAAGGAGAGATGTTCTTAAAGATTAACTACAAAATTGATTCATATTACCTATTTCTCAGGTAATAAGGCCTAGCATATGGTCCCTAACAGTTTTTGGCCACCTACTCAAAGATACTTAAAATAGTCCTATTAGATAATCTAACAGCATATACTCCTAAGAAAGACAAAAACCTTCAAGGTGTTTTTGATTCTTGGAGTACACTATACAAAAGAGAAAGTCTTCTGAGAAATTTACCTTTCAGCTAAAAACCACGGGGAAATGGCTATGGGCACTGTGTTAAAGTTTACTGAGGGTAACTGACCACCAAAAATATGCTCAAATTCCTTCTAGGAAAACTAGAACCCATCAACACTGAGAGGAAAATAATCCAGTCACTTAATGGTTAAAATACAGGCATGATGATAATGATGATTACTGTATTAGTTTAAGTAGGTTCCTCTTCAAAGGAGTAAAACATTTACCTACAGTATATTAAATATAAGCAAATATATTGCTTTAATTTAGTGATGTAATCTTACAGTTACTTACTAAGAGAAAATTTTGGATACTGGTCCAAAAAGGCATGAATAATTAGACTGGTAATATTTCGTGGCAGTTTAAATTTAAAAATCCTGTATATCATTTTGTGGTGTTGTTTGACATGCAGTGTTACCCCTAGAGAATGGAGATACTTTCAGCTATGTGCAAACATCCTCTTTACAGATAGTTCACCACATACAATGCAATCTTCCTGGGGAGGAGATCTACAAAATACGAATCACTATCATACAATCAACCTAAGCATGATTTTTTTTAATCCTCCACCAATTATAATTCCTTAACAATTTCTCATATTTGGAATGGTGATGCTGGTTAAATGAAAATGGTAATTCTGAGGGTCAGTGTGATGACTTACTTCATTTAGTGAATGATACTGTTCGTAGTATGATGCGGAGGCCCGGGGGCTGACTGTGTCATTAGAAGTCTGTTGTCGAATGAGATCTTTCACATCTCGCATCAAGACGCTGTGGGATAAAACAGAGGTGAGCTGCCTTCCGTGCAGAGCACTGGCCTTCTCGCCCACTACAGCAGGTGAGCAGGGGGAAACAAGGGCTAACAGATCTAATGAGTAGCTGTTCATCAAGGTAAAACGTCACCATCTCACACTGTGATTAGCTAAATTCACCATTTCAGCAGAACCCAAGTGGGGGCTGAATGAAAGCAGCTCTGCCTGGATGTGGCTTCAGGACCTCCAGAACTTCTTTCTCACCAAATCTACTTTGCTTCCCTGTGATTCTTTAGCATCTTTTATATGAACATGTAGACTTTAATGGACACTTTCTTCAATCCAGAGGAACATTTTATGATTCTATTTTCAGTTAGTGGTCAAGGAGAAACAGAACCAGGCAAATGTGCTAGATGAATTAAAACACCAGCATTGGGATGAACAATTTGACATTAGCTGCCATATTAACAACGGTTTCTTTTATTTATGCCAGTGGATAAAAGCCAAGCCTTTAGGGTTGAGGATTTAGATCAGTGGTAGAGGGATTGCCCAGCAAGCACAGAGCCCCGGGTTAGACCCCCAGCACCACCCTTCCCCCAAAAGCCAAGGCTTTGACATCAGAAAGATTTCAGTTTGATTTGTACATAGACTATATTTCAGTTGGTTAACATGAAGAAACACCTTTGTAAAATTTTAAAAATTTGATTTAAATTGAAATAGTATTTATTATAAATAAGAATTAAGTGACACACTGCATAGATTGGTCCAGTACAGTTCCTAGAAGGCTGTGAACACCTATGATGTCATATCCATAATAATTACAGCATATTATCAAAATACATAGGAGAGAGCACGGGCCCAAGAAAAGTGTGAGGGAGCAGGAGGGACTGGCAGTTGGGCATGTTGGATAAAATCCAAAGGAGCAAAGGCTAGTGTCTGCACAGAAATCGTTCACGATTTTAAAACTTTAAAAAATCCTTTATTTGAAATGATAGTTGCTGTCCTACTCTCTAATATACACAACTGCAGCACAAAGAAGTTGATAAATCTTACAAGATGACACAGATAGATAAACATCAGTGGCAGACACCAACCCAGGTTCTCTGCAGACTTTGTCATTTAGGGCCACATATGCAGAAATGTTTGCTAACTTTGTGAAGGAAGAATTTTAAAAAATCAAAATCTACTCCCTACTCATGAACAGCTTTTGAAAAGCAGTATCACAAAGCCCCATATGGTGAGTAACAGTTTTGCTCCCTAGTTGTGGGGCAGAGTGACCCCAAAAGAGGAATAATGAGAGCCTCTATAATGTTGAGTCTAACCTTCATTCCAGGAAAAGATTTGTAGTTTGAGAGATTAAGCCATTTGTCATAGAGATGGGCCTTGGGCTTTATCCCCAGCTCACTTGAAAGAATATCATGTTGTCATGTTTAATGTCCTTTATTTCTGCAGAAAGCAGTTATACTATCTCCTAATGCAAAGTGGACATTTATTACAGCTATTCAGTGTATATCAAATTGTGCCTACCTGAATGGAATTCTGCTCTCATTTAAATGGGCTTTCACGTCGCTTACGTCAGATGCATTCACAAAAAAATGGACTTCTTTTTTCTTTACAATAAATTCAGCTGTTACCGGCTGCCAGAGAACAATCTATAGTTTCAAGGGGCAAAATGGATTAAAAACAGTTATTCACATTATTCTCATATGTAGCCAGAGCCATAAAAGTTGTATCTAGAATGGAGATATGGAAAGGAGATTTCTTGGTTGCTGGTATTCATCCACACATATGATAATGCAAACATTTATTTTCCAGTAAACTCTTTTTTATTCTTCTTTGTAATTTGAACTGCTGAAGAGGGCCTGGAACCTACCCGATGCTCAATAAATATCTGACAAGACAATGAATGAATGTATTACTCATCTGTAAGACTGGATGTGTATATCAGATTCTTAAAGAAAAAGCAAAAGTTTGCCTAGAAAAAAAGTTGACTATACCGTACATTGGTTTCATTTAGGCCAGGTATGGTGGTATCCCAGCGCTCTGGGAAGCTGAGGCAGGAGGCTCACAAGTCCAAACCTAACCCAGGCAACTTGGTGATTCAGCAAGACACTGTTTCAAAAATAAAAGTGGGCTGGGATGCAACTCAGTTCAAAGACCCTGAGTTTTATCCTCAGTAACCCCCCAAATTATTCAATAAAAATTTCATGTACTTGATATTATCATGTGACTATTCCTTTCTATTAATCTAATTATAGCCTCTGAACAATGCCTTCTATTAATACTTACCTTTTATTCATTTTACTGCATCTTTCTAAAGCACTTTCACACATTTCCTTGATCATCATAATACCAGCTTGTTATAAATCAAGCAGATGTTATTCTTTTAATTCTTCTGATAAGAAATTAAGGTTCATGGCTAATTTGTCTAAAATTACACATCAAATAGTAAAACAAGAGAGAGCATTGTAAGTGCTGAGTGCTTTCCTCTCTCTCCTGGTGTGACGGCCATGGAAGCACACCACTCGGCTCCTGCTGACAAGAGCACGAGTGAGCAGATTGCGGGCCGCCCGTTCCAGTGGCCACTCATCCCTGGTGAGCCACAGCAGGCTGCAGCCACGCGGCCCAGGGCTGCAGCCAGCTCTGCTGAGCACTGTGGGTGCGCTGCTGCAGGCCTATTGCTCCTAGGTACAAATGGGGCTCTTACAACAGGTTACTCAGCTAATGGACAGCCCTGTGCCAGCAAGCCTTCACTGGAAGTGCCCTGCAGTCTGAGATCCTCATGCGAGGTCCTTCTTACCCCGGAAGCGTCAACTGCACCACGCTCTGAGGTGCTCCTTGCTGCCTCCACTTCCCTCCTTTTTATCCTTAGCAAGCATTACTGCTATCTGTTGCACTTCTGATTTGGTGTGGCCTCTGCTTCTTGGAGAACACTAACAAAGCCATCACTTTTCTACGTGATGCTTTGTAAACTCATCAATTTTCCACATCTTAGACATCCTAGAGACGGGTCCCAGGCATGAGAAACTTTTCTCACTTCTGACTTTTTATTAGTACATTACAGTACATAATGACTACGGTCCTGTGGGGAGTTGGTACACATACATGATACATTTTGATTCTGTTTTCATCTCCTTTCCCTCCTCTCCCTCTTCACTCTCTCTGCTTCTTGGTTCATTTCTATTTGCAAACGCACTCTCTCCCCTTTTCTTGTCTATCTTTCATTTTGTTTTTTTATTTATATTTTGAGTTTCTCATATACTCCTTGGTTAAGAACCTATGGTTTTATACAAGCAAAATTCTATCGGACTTCTGTTACTATAGCAACTTTACAAGGACATACAACTATGGAACTGTCTGAAAAACCAACATGACAAAGGAAGATTTATTTAGAGAGTGAACAGTCACGTGTTTATGGGAAGGAGTAAAACCTCTAACAAAAGAGTTCATGCCAGATACATGTAAGTGAGACAGAATGTAAGAAGGAACACGACATACAATACTCATACAATACTCATACAAAATAAATACCACTATAAATTAGGGAAAATTACCTCATAGGTTGCAGTGATGTTCTGTAGAACTTGAACTTGTCTGGAAGTTCTTGGAAGAGCAGATAATACCTGGCCACTGAGGATAAAAAATAAAATCACAGTTTAATGTTAAGTGAAAATGTGAAAACTAGGTACATTATACTTGGAAAAATTTCTAGGTAACCCCAACAAGAAAGCAAATGTAAGATGTTAGGAGGACAGATGATTTCCCTCAGAGCAGGTATAAAAATAAATATATTCTTTAATGTTTTCTTAAGCAATTGCAAAATAAACAACTATCTTAATTGGAGATTTATAGAGTACTTAGTTCTTTTTTATCCTGTGTGTGTGTATGTTTTGTGTGTACTAAGAAAATAATGAATTTGTCTTTATTGATACATGAAAGTAAAGAAAACTCTTGTACACTGTCGGTGAGAATGTAAATCAGTACAGTCATTATGGAAAACAATATGGAGACTCCTCACAAAAAATGAAAATAGAACCATCATCTGATTGAGCGATCCTAATACTAGGATAAGAAATCAGTATGTGAAACTCCCATGTTCATCACTGCACTGTTTAGAATAGCCATGAATCAATCTTAGTGTCTACCAGTGGATCAATGAATAAAGAAAATGTGGTATACATGTGCACTCAGTGGAGTACTATTCAGCCATTTAAAACAATAAAATATTGCCATTTCTGACAACATGGATGAAGCAGAGAACATCATGGTAAGTAAAATAAGTCAGACTTAAAGTACTATACTTGTATATGAAATTTTAAGAAGTTGATCTCACAGATGGAGAGTAGAAGAGGGGTTACCAGAGCTTAGGAAGGGTAAGGAAGAGGAGGTGAATGATAGAGGTGGTCAATGGGTACAAAGTTACACTTAGAAGGTATAAAGTTTGGTGTTCTGTTGCACAGTAGAATGACTTTGGCTAATATTGTATTCACTATTTCAAAATAGCTAGAAGAAAGAATTTTTATTATTCTCATCACAAATGATAAATATATATGATGATTAATATGCTAAATATCATGATTTGATTACAATGTACGTGTATCAAAGCACCAGTTTATCTCATAAATATGTATAAGTATTGTGTATCAATTAATAACAGACATAAAAATTGTTTTTCACTTGACCTTGCATTATTTTCAAGACACACAGTGAATATTTATGCTAATGCTTGTTTACTTCATTATAAAGTAACGTCTATCACCATCCCACTTAAGAAATTCACCTTCTTTGTCACCCTTGAAGCTCTTTGTGAGTTCCTTATATCTACTACTCTGTTTTCACTTTCATTTACTTTTATTTATAGTATGGATTCTTCATTTTTGTATGTATTCCTGTTGTGGATTCTCAAAGAACACACTTAGATTTATTTGATCTAGCTTTATAAACATGGTAGGTTTATGTATTCTTCTGTGTCTTGTCTTACCTTGTTAGAACTCCAGTACAATGCGGAATAGAAATGGAGATTAAAAATACAAGATGATTCTTAGGAAACTTTCTAATGTTTTAGAATGCTTATGGCAGGTTTTTTATATTTGTCTTTTATTAAAGAATTTCCACTCTGGTGAATTTTTATCATGAGTTGGATGGATTTTATATGCTTTTAAGAGATAAACAAATGGATTTTGCTTTCATCTCTTAGTTTGGCATATCACATTAATATATTTCATACAAGCTGATATTTGGTTTTATTTGTTATTTTCATGTTTTCTGTGCCATATTTCTTTGAGCCTTCCGACTCCTACAAGGCTGTGAGGAATTCTTAGTTTCTTGCACAGACTAGGCGTGTTGGATTTCTTATCCTGACCTTCAGTCACTTTTATCCTACCCCACCTCATTAAGATTTCATAAATAGGTACTACAGCTCATAAACAGAATTAAGAGCAGAGTGAATTCTGTGTGTTGAGAGCCGCTGAGATGACTCTGCCCCCGTCATCATGTCTGCCAGTCGCATCTAGGGTTTGTGTTCCTGGGCTGAGGTGCTTTAAAAAGCCTGACTCACTGGGGCTGTCGCTGCAGCTGTTTCTGTGTGTGAGGACCTGTGTGCAGTGCTGTTACTTTTCTGTCACTCTGGCACCATTTTTTGGTCTCTTTCATATCTTTTATCGGCACATTCTTGTGCTGAGCACACCTTTCTGTGAACTTAAATAAATATAGCTGGTTTTCGTGTGCTTTTTGAGTGCATCTTTGGTAATTCTTTGCTTGTCATACAAAGAGTCTGGACTATTCCTGCTCACTCCACAGTAAACATGCCAACCAATCTCCAAGGTGAAAACTATTTAGATACAGAGAAAAAAGGTGCCATAAGGTAAAGAATTGCAATTATAGGTAGAATATATTAACACTATGGAAGTTATCAGATTTCCATGATACTTCTGAGTAAACTAAAAAAAATGTACTATTTAAATTAAAATCAAGTGATATTGTTGGCATGAGCAAGAAGACTGGCAATTTTTTTTTAACTGAACAAATTTTCTCTTTTTAGTTTCAGACAATTGTTGCCCTTGAACTACGAGGATATCTTAAAATCAGAAAGAAACTATTTCTCTCTTTTTCTATTTAAAGCGATCCTAGATTTGCTTCAAGTAGTATGGAGAAATAGGACCAGACACACCCTACTGCTTGAAACAACTAAAAAACTGAGCAGAATGGATGAAGCAATGGCACTCCAGACATTGAACAGTGGCAAGATGATGATCAAATGTACCATGTTACCCTAGAGTGGATCCTGGAACAGAAAAAGAACATTCATAGAAGAACTGATGAAATCCAAATAAATTTAGTTAATACTATAATACAGCAATGTTGGTTTATCAGTTTTGACAAATATGTCATTGTAACATAAAATACTAACATTAGGGGAAACTGAGTAAGGGATATGCAGGAAGGCTGTATCATCTTTGCAAATTTTCTGTAAATCAAAGAACATTTGGAACACAAATTTTATCTTTAAAAAACAGGTTATTGATAGAACCCGGCCAGGGGCATGCCAGTTAGAATACCTAAAAGAGAGGTTTCATTTCACTTTAGTTACAGAAGGCAAGTGAGTAGGTTACAGGGTCCTGCATTAGACGACACAAGCCCTTATTCTTAGACTTGGTTCAGTCAACTAGCAAACAAGGACACAGAGGCTGTAGAAGGACTCACACCAGAGATAGGGTTCTGGGGTAGGAGATAGTTACTAAATAAGTTTCTCAAATCTTTGGAAGCCAAAAAGCTACCAATAATTACAAAGAGAAGTACAAAGAGAAGAAAATATAAGAGAAGAGGGGAGAGGAACCACAGATATGGGATGAAACACATTGCTGGAGTAGACTGTGACTCCGGATCCCAGGCCATGAGTGATGGGGGAGGTTCCCCTGGGCATTAGGAATAAAAAAATAGCATCTCAACTGGGGAGTGCCTGTGTGTATAGGTACCATTCTTATAAGAGTATTACTAAAAGCCTCACTTTCACTGTCTTGGAGTTTGATTTCTGTTTATTTCCCCAGAACTAAATTTATTCCTTACAGATCTGTAGAGACTTAATCACCAGAAGGAAAAATTGACTCACAGAGACCACACCCTGGGAAATTTTATGTTAATTCCTCATCAAGTGTAGTATAATTATTTATCCACTGCTTAAATGCATAGATTCAAGGATATGTATTAGAGCACTATTCGTAGTAGCAATAACTGGAATCTTATGTAAATACTTAGCAGCATGTTGAAATACTTAGCAAACTGTTGAATGTTGGTGGTACCTCCACATTTTAGAATGTTCGAAATCATTATAAAGAATAAGCTTGATATATAATAGTTAACTTATGAGGTGGAGCTTCCTAATGTATTAAAAGAGATAAAAAGGATGCATTAGGCTATGATACCATTTTTGGAAAACTAAATTTAAAAGAAAAAGGGAGTAGAACAAAGTTTTGATGAAATAATGAACAGATTGTTTTCACTGATTTTGAGGGCAAAGAATGATAATTGAAGGTAAGAAGAAGAGGGATCAACTCAGAGTTTTTTTTAAAAGGAAAGGTCTTTCTAGTGCCCAAAGGGGAAATTATATTCAACTGACCTAAAATTATTTGCAGGGACCTGTAAATGTGAAAAGAAACATACAACGTAGGATGATAACTAAAATGTTAAAGTTGTTTCTTTTCCAGGTAATGAATTTTATGTTTTGCCACACTTACTTAGAAAGACAAAAAGAACACTTACTCTTTAATTTGATCAAAGAAGATACTTAAAAGCTCCTTTGACTGTGAAAAAGCCAAAGCTGCTCAGTAATGCTGGTGGCCATCTGTCTCATCTTGTCAGCACAACCCTTATCATTTTAATAAATAGGATGTCTTCTGGGCCCGTAGTGCAGCATCATCAGTCACCCACTGAGTTTCCTAGCCTTACATAGTATTTCCCTTTTTTATCATCTGTCACATTAATTCTGACATTTCTGTTTCACTAGTGCGGATGTTTGCTTCCTGCAAGCCTTTAAAAACCATCCTAATGACTTGTTAGTACTATCTCCCAAGGATTTAAATAGGATGTTAAATCCTTTAAGTGAACAAGTGTACCTTCTTTGGTACATAGTCACCTTCTTTTACTAACGTGCCCAACCAGCACTTCCACAACCAGGTTATGTCATGACTTTAATTGAATCAGAGATGAGGTGGCAAAGTGAGGTAGGTTCTGAGAGCCAGCTACAGGACGAGCTCCCAGACAGCAATGGAGGCCGTGAGAGTCCTGTATAATAGAAGCTCTATAGCACTACTTTACCATCAGTGACAAGTTAGCCACAACTATTGCAGTAAGCAGCAAGGTCAGAGAGGCAGTGAGAGAAGCATGACCTTCAGAAAACTATGGAGTTGATAAAAAGAACATAGGGATTCTTAGAGACAAGATAGATGAACAGCCAACAAAATATTGCTTGATCTTTACAATCAAAACAAATCAAGGATAGATATAAAAGAGGCTGAAGACAGTTATCTCAATCAAAAATCAGTTTTGGAATCTGAGTCAGTTCTGAGACCTAGGATTTCTTGGTTGAAGAAGAAATCAGGTCCCAAAAAGGAAAGTCCCTACTGTAGTATGAG